TTCCCGCGCACGTCATCGTGCCTGCTGTGTAGCACACGGTGGACATCGTCGGAATCGACGGTCGAAATGTCGTGTGTGTGTGCATGTGGATTTATCATGATAGTGACAAACCCAAGCAACAGATACTGGCAGCCCATTTGAAATCCAAGCGTACTTCCCAAAAGTACAAAACATATATTTGAGCAAGGTGGTATAACAATAAGACTGTCTGTAAAAAAGTTATAAGACCCCATTCAAAAGTCTCAAAAAGCCAAGACTAAGTTGCTGATTCACCACATATAGAACTTTTTGATCACGCAACATACTTTGTGTCCCTTTCTCGGCATCTTATTTCCCACGCATTTATCCAACATTTGCATTGAATAAAGTGACCCTAAGCAGCTTTATTTGTTGCGAACTCCTTCCAGATAGAATTGGAGAAAGTATGATTTGGATACTCCAATATGGGCCGTTAATAATTGCAGGTTGGCAATTCACGGTCACATTTTAAAATAACAGGCAGGATCAGAAAACATTAGAGAATTAATATGGACAAAAATACAGGATATCTAAAAATCAAAAGATTTCGCAATTGCTTCTCATCTGTGACTTGTCGCCAGATAAAAGTTAGGAAGGGAACACGGGACGTTGAGACTGGTTCATATGCTCGATATGAGAAAAAATATGCGTAATTCTCAAAGCTATACCGAAGTGTCAAACATGTTCAAGTGCCTATCTGCCTACTACTTAGAATACTTCATTATTTCGAGCTAATCACGTGGCTAGAAAACTCCCGTTGCCGGAGACGCCTTTATAACTACCTTTCTTCATTCCGTTCGCTACGACCGATATCTCCCAACCAATAATTCCACCTGGGTGAATCGACCAATATTCCAAACTGTCCGACTGCTAAAGCGAGCTTACTAACTGCTGTTCGGCGACCCTGGCGGTTTGCTTGGCGGACATATTCTGCCCAGAATCACTGACAATGGAAAAAGAGGAAGACGGGACGAGGATGTCCGCTCGTGACCTGGAGGTCCGATAGTCCCTAACCGTGGAAGCAAATTTTTAATTTACCCACGAATCTGTATTCCATGGCCCAGTCTGCAAGGTATGCGTCCGCACCCAAAAAAACTCTGCAAATAGGCCAAAATTTCGAGGCAGTACCCATGAAAATATACTCCGTTTGGTTAATTAAGATGCTTCTTTAAGGTTTTTATTTTTCTCAGAAATGTGTCGCGAATTTGGAGTAAATCAGTCTATTTTGGATTAGTAAGCTTAGACTGAAATTTGTAATAAATATTTGAGCCGAAGTTCATCAGCTGCAGGGGAATAGCCGGGTAACATTCATCAACTTATCATAGGCAGTCAGCAGTATATGCATAGGTTGCATAGGTTTTTATTGGGTAAGATGTGGTTGTGTAACCCCACCTGACCTACACAATACTGCTGGGGTTGGGGTTAGGAGTTAGAATTAGGGCTAGGGGTTAGGGCAACTATTTCTCAACCACTCAAATTACAACCGCACATTCCCAATAGCTTTCCTCTTGCATAAAACTACTTGACCTCGTCGCCTGTGCGTTCCCCGGCCCCACCTTTAAAAACCCCTATTAGCACCGGTCCCGAATTACAGGTGGTTGGGGTTTGTGAGAGAGAGAGAGAAAAAAAAAGAGAGAGGAAGTCGCTTTATTTTGAATCATGAGTTCAAAATTTTCAGCAAAAAATTAGCTCCATTCACTATGGGCAGTAAATAAGTTTATAGATTATTCAAGAGTCAAAGTTCAACACAAAGAAACGATTGTTATGAGGATAGTTCAAGTCTTAGCTTCTGTATTTCTCTCTCTTCGCACGTAAGATAGCGCGCTAGGAATAGCAATACAGAAGCTGGATAAGCCGATGTGCGACAGGATATAAGTCGGAAGCTGCGGCGCATCGGGCGGGAAGACTTCGCAGAAATAAGATCAGAATGCAAGGGATGGGCAACGTCATCTATAATCAGACCAGCGAATTGCTTGACCGCATTGAAATGTCGTTGTAAGATAGTTTCGACCAAAAGAAAATAAGAAACACCAGCAGCAGAAGAGAGCATGCGGAGGAAGCGTTTCAAAATTAAAAGATATTTTTTAAGCAAAGCAGGAAAAATGACAGGAGAGCAGTATAGGATATGAGGAAGAATGCAGGCATCGATGAATCGCCAGACTAAGGGTTGAGGTGTGTGTGGTAGGAACGTAAACGACGTATGTAATAAAGAAGTTTATGAAATTGTTTAATTCAGGTGGGGCTATATAACCACATCTGACATTTTATTGTTTTGGTGCATTTGAATAGGTTAATTTAACATCTAAAGTCAGGAAGGACCCAAACATGATCGGGGTGTGGTTGACTGAGAGCTTTGCATCGTCATCGATATCAGGCTTCTTTCGCGTGTTTTCGTCCTTTTGTGTGGCTAACCTTGAAGTCTCAGTCCCGGTAAATAAGCGGGGTGGAAAAATTCCGGTAATGTAAACCAGCCCCAAGTGCCAGTCGTCTAGTTACGAGATACACGAATCTAAACGGGATCAACATGACAGTCTGGACGATGGAGCGCCGGCGTCTGCTTCCAGACCCGGGGGCATAGTTGTATAAACATACGACGGCCACTCAAACAAGGCAAGCTTAATTTTGTGGCAATCTCTTGTTAGCATATTGAATTTCCGTCCCATTACTGATCTGTGCAATCACATGTTAAGTTTTAGACTAATTAGCCATCACGGTTTTTGCTGCACACGCAAACGCTTGGCAATCTGTGCCTCCACAGTAAAGGCGATTGCTGAGGCCACTGAGAGAGAGACAGGAAGCCGATGACCGATTTTTTTTGGGGTCGTTTGGATTCGCTTCCACAGCAACACTGAAGCAACAGTGTTGACCTCATTATTTTTTTCCT